TTGCAATGGTTCCACCTGTATCCCTGTTTAAATGATTTGTTTTTCCCCTTCCCCTCCACAAATTATACCAACATGAAATACAGTGAAAGCAGGGGTTATACCGTGAGGTAGGAACATACAAAGCAACAAAGAAATGGCTATGGCTTTTTGTGTATGTGTGTGTGCTAGTCCTGGGGCTTGAGCTCAGGGCCTTGGTGCTGTCTCCTAAGCTTTTTTGCTCAAGACTACTATTCTACCAACTTGAGCCACAGTTCCATTTCCAGCTTTTTTCTTTTTCTTTTTTTTTCTTTTTTTTGGGGGGTCCGGTCGTGGGGGCCTGAACTCTGGGCCTGGGCGCTGTCCCTCAGCTCTTCAGCTCAAGGCTAGCGCTCCACCACTTGAGCTACAGTACCACTTCCAGCTTTTTTCTTTTTGCTATGTGGTGCTGAGAAATCGAACCCAGGGCCTCATGCATGCGAGGCAAGTGCTCTACCACTGAGCCACCTTCCCAGCCCAGCCAAATTTTTTCATAGTTATTTGGCAATAAGAGTCTCACAGATGGGGCTGAGAAGGTGGCTCAGTGGTAGAGCGCTTGCCTTGCATGCATGAGGCCCTGGGTTCGATTCCTCAGCACCATATAAACAAAAAGAAAAAAGCCGGAAGTGGCACTGTTGCTCAAGTAGTAGAGCACTAGCCTTGAGCTGAATAGCTGAGGGACAGCGCTCAAGCCCAGAGTTCAGGCCCCACAACCGGACCCCCCCCCAAAAAAAAAAGAGTCTCACAGACTTTCCTGCCCAGGGTGTCTGTCTTCAAACCATGACCTTTCAGATCTCAGCCTCCTGAGTAACCGGGATTATAGGCATAAGCCACCAGTGCTTGGTTCCTCTGCCTTCTTCTTCTTCTTCTTTTTTTTTTGTCAGTCATGGAGCTTGAACTCTGGGCCTAGGCACTGTCCACTTGAGCCACAGTGCCACTTCCAGTTTTTTCTGCTTGGGTGGTGTTGAGGAATCAAACCCAGGGCCTCATGCATGGAAGGCAAGCACTCTACCACTGAGCCACCTTCCCAGCCTTCCTCTGCCTTCTTTCACCTACTCTGTGGTATTCTTCCGTGGTGTTTCTTCTCTCCCCCACCCTCACTTTCCCACTCCACCTCCTCAATCCATACCCTACCCACCATACCCTCAAGACTTGGAATTTCTTAGAATTTCCCATTCGCTAGGGGACACTTGGGGCTGGGAATGTGGCTAAGTGGTAGAGTCCTGCCTAGCAGGCATGAAGCCCTGGGTTCCATTCCTTAGTACCACATAAGCAGAAAAAGCTGGAAGTAATGCTGTGGCTCAAATGGTAGAGTGTTAACCTTGAACAAAAGAAGCTCAGGGACAGTGCTCACACTCTGAGTTCAAGCCCCAGCACTGGCAAAAAAAAAAAAAAATATGGGACACTCACACTTAGCTACTCAGGAGGCTATGATTAAACCAGCTCCCAACAAACTATTTTCCAAAACCACAAAGGTCTTCCTTTAAAATTGCCTGCAACTTCAGCTGGAAGTGTAGCTCAAGTAAAATAGAGCAGCTGCAAGCATAAGGCTCTGAGTTCAAGCTCCAAACCTGTCAAGAAAACACTATATAGAGTGAAAAAATAAAAATATATGTAGCTATGTATAAAACTTTTTAAATAAAAAATAAAATACTTAATGACAAATCCTCATGGTAAATGGAAAAAAGTAGGAAAACTAAACAAAGAAATAGAAGTTACTTAAAAAGAAAATAATGAAGTTGAACAGAAGTTTTTTTGTGTGTGTTTGTTTCTTTGTTGGTCATGGGGCTTGAGTGGGGCTGAGTGCTGTCCCTCAGCTCTTCAGCTCAAGGCGAGAGCTCTACCACTTGAGCCACAGCACCACTTTGGTTTTCTAGTGGTTAATTGGAGATAAGAGTCTTGCAGAGTTTCCTACCCCAGCTAGCTTTGAACCATGATCCTCAGATCTCAGCCTCCTGAGTAGCTAGGATTACAGGTGTGTGCCACTGGCACCCAGCTCTTTGTTTTTTAATCTTCAAACTTTATTTTGTTTTTG